ACGTGTTAGAAGACTTCATCGCAACGACGCCAACGAGGATGAAATCGACATATTGGTCTATACCACGAGACTTCTTCATTCCACATCATCAATAACATGAATTATGAACTTTCACTTCCTGGCGTAATATCATCGGCTGGTCCAGCCTCCTCGAAAGCCTTATTTAATACTGGGCAAATGGTAATGCTCCGTTCAATATGTTTCATCCATCCACGCGGCTACCTCGGTGTTTACTGACGCATCTTTCAGCTCGTACGACGGTCGTAATCCCAATTCAGCCCTAATTGATTCAGCACACATACAGATCTCGATTTCCCCCTCCTCGCGTGACGTCGTAAGGCTATTCGGTATTCAGTTGCTCATTGCTTGTACACAACGTGGCCTCCGGAGAGAAGCACTGCGCTATGCTTGTTCTACGTCACGATTCTGGGCCGATCCTCAGTGTGTGTGTGTGTGTGTGTGTGTGAGACTTCTGCGAAACAGATGAGAAGGCATTATTTTTCGGCTGTTATATAGATGCTCTGTTGCAATGGTGGGTTTTCGGTCTGAAATACGGTTTCATAATCTCGGGGTTTCATGGCCTGTTTGTTGCTTTTGACCATCTTTCATCATGTTGATATGTGCGCTCACCATCCTATAGTATTGCGACCGTTCTCCGTTGAATGAACGAAATGTAATTCATGCGCCACGCGTCAAGTGACTGACCACTCCGCACCCTCGCCTGCGCGATGTCGCAATCCATTGCGGACAACGCTCTCCTCAGAGGCGGAATCCCAAATATCAAGTAAGATAGTGTCAAGAAAAGAGCCCTCGCTTGTCCCGTGTCATTTTCAAAGAATAAGATTGACCAAGGACAACACGGTATCAGAAATAATAATGAAACAGCAGCCATCAATATCCCCATCTAAGCGGTCGTCGTCTCAATGACGTCGCCCACCACAGCAGTAATAGTGCGACTCCTATCAAGAAACCTCTCCTCGTCCTCCGCTATCTTCGCCGCGATCTCAGGCTTCTGAACGAAATCCAAGTGCCGCTGGAAGGCCTCGGCGTCCTTGAATTCGAGCGTCACCATGACGTCGTAGTCGAAGTCGGCCTGCGTGCCGCGGAAGACGGTAGCGGGTGTATGTGGGTTCCGCGGCGTCGTGTTGTTGGAATTCTCGGTCTTGGTGCGATAGATGTAGTGTTGTTTGTGCTTTAATGGGACGAGGGGGCCTGCGAGCTCGCGGAACATGGGGAGATGAGACTTCGTGTAGTACGCTTTGAATTCCTCGGGCGTCGTCCCTTGTTTGCGGGATAGGAAAGCTAGGAGGATGAATGTCATGGTGTTGAATGGGTATCAGTGGCGGTGATTGGGGAGTGGTTGATGCTTGACGAGGAAAAGACACCATGAATAGGAGGGATTGTGGTTGGATTTATAGACATCTACCTCGTATACCAGTGACTCGATCTTGTATTACAGGTCAGCGATTCATGGAAGCCTGCCGCGCTGATGAGCAGCTAGATTGTAGATCGTGGTTTGAAGATGCATGTCGAAACATCTAGACCATTCAGGAACCATCTTACTTCTGGGCGTAAGCGTGAAACTGGTTTAAAGGTCGTACACAATCTACTCATCCCAATTTCATCGCGGACAAGCAAGTATTTACCGTCTTTGGACACACTCATGGAGTGAAGTGCTGGGTATCTGGCGTAGAGTATTGGGATGTAGACCCCAGACGTGTTCAACCACTTGGAGATCTTATTGTACTACACTAGACAACTTATTCAGTCCATTTATTCTGCAATTTCTTAGAGATCATATCACCTCTTCGATAAGTACCAATGGCTCAAGGCGAGACATTCAGGGAGAGGATATGGACAGATTTAGACCATTAACAGTCGTCGGATCTACCTGGAGGCTTGACTTCCCCATGAGTCGTCTGCAGGTTACACTTTGTCCCCAGACACTCGATAGAGTGCTCTGTCTGGGGATGATCTTAGTGATTTGCCATGGCCCATGAGATTTCTTTATTTGCTGATGCATTATGTATACAGGCAGAAAAATGTATGCCTCCTTTTGAGTACCTACGACAGCGCGTGTACGGATTAAGATTAAGGAAACCTAGGTTACGCTTTACGGCATAGGCTTCCATAACTGCATAGGATAGCGTCATTCTATTCTCTTTGTGGATATGGTATGCAACTAGGTATACAGGCTACTTGTCGTGTTGATACATAATAGATTGCTGGCGAGACCTAGACTCTTCATTCCTTCCGCCGATTCGTGGATTGTTGCTTGTCTCAATTCAGCAGATCGTAGGGCGAGCGTTGTGCACCGATTGTCCTGCGTCTGTTCAAGGGCACTTCAGTCCGAGATGTCGTCTATTGCCGCTCGCTCCGCCCAAGTCGGGCTTCGCAACCTCAGAATTCAGAGCTCCCGACGGACGGTATTATCCCATGTCGCCAGCAGCCATGTTGTCCGCGCATATTCTTCCGAGAAGGACCCGTCGGGGCCAAGTTTTAAAGGGCAGATGCTCGAAAGTATTGGGTCTCGTATCGCTCGAGAAAGGGCAGAGCGAGAGAAGTTCGCCAAGCAAAGACAAGGGTCGGCAAGCACAAGAAGATGGGCTACAACCTTTGGTACACTTCACCAACTCCCGATAATAGAGTGTTTATGGATCTGGAAGGAAATGAGACTAATTGTGCACCATATCAGTCATCGTCTTTACTGCCGGTTTCGCGTACTTCCTAGGAACAAAGTCGGCTCGCGATCTGGATCCCTCCTCGACACTACCTCTTGTTCTCGCCCCTAAACTGAAGCATAACAATGAGAAGCCAAACCTAGAAGCTGCATGGGCCGACTTCGCCGCCGTCGTGGGAGCGCAAAATGTCAGCACTGCTGACGACAATCTACGAACACACGCCAATTCGGACTGGTCGACCTATAGGAATGAAGATGAACATAAACCATTCATGATTGTATACCCTGGATCCACCGAAGAGGTTAGCAAAGTTATGAAGATCTGCCATGACCGCCGGATACCAGTAGTTGGCTATAGTGGAGGTACCAGTTTGGAAGGGCACTTTACTCCTACCCGAGGAGGCATCTGTGTTGACTTCGCACGGATGGACAAGATTCTTCACCTGCATAAGGATGACATGGACGTCGTCGTACAACCTGCTGTTGGCTGGGAGAACCTGAACGAGGTACTTGCTAAAGAAAACCTCTTCTTTCCTCCCGATCCAGGCCCAGGTGCTCAAATTGGCGGCATGATCGGTACTGGATGCAGTGGCACGAATGCGTATCGCTACGGCACCATGCGAGAATGGGTTTTATCTCTCACTGTGGTTTTAGCGGACGGCACTATAATCAAAACGAGACAGCGGCCACGGAAGAGTTCTGCCGGCTACGACTTAACTAAGCTGTTTATCGGAAGCGAGGGGACCCTTGGTCTGGTTACCGAGGCTACCTTGAAACTCACAAACAAACCCGCCACCACAAGCGTCGCTGTCTGCAGCTTCGGCACAATTCGCCAGGCAGCCGACTGCGTTTCCAAGGTTGTTGCTCAGGGCATACCCGTTGCTGCGGTCGAGATTCTGGATGACGAGCAGATGAGATGCATCAATGAAGCCGGTATGACAACAAAGACATGGAAAGAAACACCCACGCTCTTTTTCAAGTTTGCTGGGACTCCTGCCGGCGTCAAAGAGCAGATAAGCATCGTTCAAGGCCTCGCCAAGCAGACCGGCAGCACTGGTTTTGAGTTTGCCAAAACTCAGAAGGATCAGACCGAGCTGTGGAGTGCCCGTAAAGAAGCACTATGGAGCACGATGTCTTTCGCTAAACCAGGTGACAAGGTCTGGACTGGAGACGTCGCGGTTCCCATGAGCAGATTGCCTCAATTGATTGAGGAGACCAAGGATGATATGAAGAAGAGTGGCATGTTCGGCACTATAGTCGGCCATGTCGGTGATGGAAATTTTCATAGTAAGTTTGAATTTATACTACCACTTGCAGTCCAAGGTATACTGATCAAATTAGTCATCCTCCTCTCGAATGAGCAGCAACGACATGATGCGGAGGAATTGGTACATCGCATGGTAAAGAGGGCAGTTGAGTTGGAAGGAACCGTGACTGTAGGTATCCTCCTAACACCGACCAAGATCATCACTGACATCAAATAGGGTGAACACGGTGTTGGTCTGGTAAAGCGTGACTACTTGCCACACGAGCTCGGAGAGACTACCGTGGATCTAATGAGAAAGGTAAGCAGTACCCAGTAGATACATTGGACGCTGTTCGAGGACTTTTTACTGACAAGTCTTTTACAGATTAAACAAGCCCTTGACCCATTATGTTTGCTAAACTGCGACAAAGTCATCCGAGTACAACCGCCAAAGCCAGGTGAGGTCGCGGAATGGTAACAACGTAAATAGGTACATAGAAATCAGATACCCTATCCTCCAACCTGTTCTGTCTTATGATGATTACGATAGCTAGTCAGGCGTGCTGTATACTCTTAGTTAGTATCGTGCCTGATTTTGCTTATCCTCCGTAAATAGTCACAATCGGATGGACGCTTGAGGATTTAGATCGGACAGAGAGTCCTTGCGTAGTAATGACTGAATTTTGTAGTTGTGATAACATGCTTTGCGTTTTTACAAAGCATACTTTCTCTAGGCAAGATATTATTCACTTATCCTCAATTTATCTTGGTGTGAGGAAAGCCTCTGCTATTGCGCATGGAATCGGTAGGTACCCTGACTACACATATTCCCTGGGCCGACAGTGTTGGCGTAACAGACGGGCTTGACGAGAGAGAATTAGGTACGCGCCGAGTCTAATAGTAGCAACACCGCAAGTCATAGCGGGAGAGCTTTCAATTACCTAGACCGGGCGGTCGTGGGACAATTGAATTGCGCGGGCGGATGGCAGGCAAGTCGGGCCAGGATAGACCCTGCGCCAGGAGCGCCGATCATATATCGGAATCATCCGGTAATCTTCCATCCAGTTGGAAGCGGGCCTCGTGGCCTAATGGCTAGGGCGCTAGATTTCGGTTATCATACTGCACTCTAGAGATTGTCGGTTCGAGTCCGGCCGAGGTCGATTTCTTTTTTTGGAGGGATCGTCGCATTAACGTCGGTAGGTGAAGGGCTTTTATTTCCGAAGGGATGATGTTCGGTCTCCCCGTGTGCTTTTTGTTTTGGTAGATCGGGCTGGGATAGAAGAGCGCCGAAAGAGCTTTGGTTGTGGTTGTTGAAACGCAAGTTCTTGATGAGCGTAGGCACCTAATCTAATCCGTACCTAACCTGATAATCCTATGTCCACATTCCAAAAGTAATAGTACTAAGTACGTAGTTGCACTACGAAATACAGATCCGTACAAACTTTTAATACAGAGAGAGAGGGTCTTTTACAATCATATACGAGACACCCTGTTTAAAAGATCAGTCATAGAATTGAGTCGAGTTTGAAGCAAATTGGCTCGGTCAATGTACACTAGATAGATACTACCTACCTTATGAGAACTGAAATGTCTCGGTTCGGAGACTACAGGCGCCAAATTTCTGACCGGTCGCCCGACTATGGAACGGGCCGACGCCGCCCTAGCGAGCTGACATGGTGAGACCTACGAAAATAGTCCGTACCTAAGGTGAAGGATTACCTATGAGGTTAACGTCGACGGCAGTTTGAAGCGATGTGACAGGCTAGGTATCGTACATAGGAAGTAACATTTCCTATCTATCTATATTATTGCTGTATACATAAGTTGAAGTAATATAGTCGACACATTCTTACCTCCAACTTACTGTACGGAATAAGGCTTCATAAATTAATAACACTCGTGCTCCCCTGGCGTCCTACCTACTAAACTCCCATATGTGAATACCGATACGTGCAAGGCCCCAATATGCAGATACCCTCACTATATGTATATATCCGCACTAAAGTCAGCGGGCCCGACCAAGACAGTTCAAGCAGCAGCTGTCGCATCCACTATCAAATCGTCAACAAAACCTAGCCGGTCCCTATTAGGATCCAGCACTCGCGCATACTCAAGCAGCAGTCGCCATGTATAAAGCATCATGTCTTCTCTCCTAAGGACCTTCGCAGCCCAAGCATGGCCCTCCTCGGCGACTCGCCGTGCCTCGGCATCGTGTCCGTTGAGGAAATAATCCATGATAGCATAAATGTCCATGAACGTGTTATCAAACGGCACAAAATGCAGCCACGGAACGAGACGGTCGTCGTGCCACTCTGTGTACACTGTCGCCTTTAGCGGGCAGCTCGTACTCTGCAGGAAGCCCCGCCAGCGCGCCGAAAACGAATTGCCGTCTACGTCCGGCAGGAACTTGTAACTGTACTGCTCCGCCATCGGCTTCGACGGTACCAGTGCGAAGAAAGGGTCTGTGTACGGACAGTCGGGCCGCAGTCGGTTTAACCAGTCATGCCGCTCAGGCCAGCAGTCTAGCCGATTGAAGCCCACGTCGCTCCATTCTTGGAGCCAGGGTCCTAGGAGCGGCACTGATATGTTGTACATGCTGAGTGCTTGGCGATTGAAGGTTGGGCCTATCACTGCATTGCCTGCTTGTACGAGAGTGACTGTGGACCCGTTCATCATTTGCACGAAGCGATGACGCTGGTAATGCCACCAGTTGTCCTCTTGGTTGCGGCCCCCACTGGCAGCCCCCCTCCAGACGAGACCGTTCTTCTTCTCCGACCACGGCCCACCATGGCCCGTGCCGCCGGAGTAGCGCGTCTGTTCAGAGAGATACATGGCGCCTGGTATAAGGAGCTCATTGTTCGTCGACAACTTAGAGCCGCTGAAGAATGGGAACAGCTTAGTAGATATCGACATGCTGAAGGCCTCAACAAAGGTCCCGTGCATGCCACGCAGGTGCGGCTGGAGACATGGGATCTGCGCCTGCGTGAAGTTCTTAATGAAGCCGTTTTCTTCCATGTAGGACATGATTGGGCTGGTCGGAAATATGGTGTCGATTTGGTCCGCCATTGTCTCGAGAGGTAGTACTTTCCGAGCCGGGCTGTCAGGGGGACACGCGTGACTAATATAATTCCAATATCCGGGTTTGTCGTCGGTCCATTCAGGATCGAATGCCTGCTGAGAGTAGGCATCCAAATCTTTCAAGCTTGTTTGCTCGGCCGTTACTTTGTCCGGTGGAAAAAGTTGACGTGAGCTCTGTTCCTCGGCGACATACCGGGTCACATCTTCCCAGGGCACAAGCATACGAGGTTCATCATAGAGATTGACGGGCATGTCGAGATCGGGTATATGCGGCAGCATATCTTTGATAAGCGTTTCCCACAGTTCAAGGCGATCGCCACGCACTGCACCCTCATTGTCGCCTTTGAAGTTTGCTATTTTGCCGTCCCGCACGCGGATGATGTGTGGCATTGCGCGGGCCTGATGTCGCATCTCCAGAGCATCTACGCCCCAGAACGGGTTTATATCATGATGGATTCTGTCGAAGAATTCTTCCACGATGACGGCCTCGTGGCTTTGAGCGGCCTCATACCACTTATCGAAACCTGGGGGCGGATGGCGACCGCGTCGCTCTCGATATCTCACGGCAGCCTGCGCGAGGCTCCAAGATCGCTTGCCAAGGCGCAGAGAGAAGCTATTATAGGCCTCTTCAATCAGGAGGGAGATAGGATGTTTAGCATCTACCTCATCTGTCGCATTCTGAATCCGACCTCCGCTTCCGAGTCGTCCATTTGGTAAGTTTTCATCAGTCCACCCTGGACCAGCAGAAAATACACTGAAAGTAATGTCAAACGGCTTGTAGAGCCCGAAGCATAACAGCAGAGTCGTGATGAAGGTTGCAATTACCACGTACTTGAGTCGAGCTCTCATGACTGCGGGCATTGTGACCTGTTGACATTCTTGAGTCTAAAGACGACTCCCTTTCTTTCTATATGTAGAGAGACGTGACAGGAACCAGTGATTAATCCCTTGCTGATAGATGCAGCAGTGAGGCACGTTGGACCTTTCAGAAAACCGTTCCAGACAACGCCTAACTCCTTAATTTACCAAAAAAAGACACGAATACCCAGGTAAGCATAATACTGACGCATATAAGTCACACTTGGCAGGTTGCTTTGAGACGTTAGTGCAGTGTGTACCTATCTTAATTAGAGCATTACTAACCGGGCATCCACCAGCAGTTATCCGGGCATCCAGCCCACTGTTGCAGCTGGCAGCTTCCTCCTTGGTCCGCCAGTCAAAGCAACAACGGCAATTACGAGATCGGGCGGGTACTGGAGTAGAGTAGATAGCTTCATTCATTGCGTATCGTATGCCTGTATGTAGTGTAGAAACTGAATTATGTTGCAGCTTGAGCCTGGTCAATTGACTGCAAAGGCGCGCGGTATCTGGAAATGCTATTTACACTACCTACCTAGGTACCTACCAAATTTTCAATTGACTGGCGGACCAAGGAGGAAGCTGCCAGCTGCAACAGTGGGCTGGATGCCCGGATAACTGCTGGTGGATGCCCGGTTAGTAACGCTCCTTAATTAATAAGTATCTACTTGACTGCCCAAAGACAGCTACAAATCGGTCACGGGCCAGGGTCTGGATCAAACAAGGAAAACCGGCTGACTAAAGAGTGTCTCGCACTCTTCAGCAATTGGCTGGTCATGGCTTTCCAGACGAATGGTTCCTTTGAAAGTGTGGAGCTGGTGACTTAGTCGTAGTACTCGAGCAACCAAGGAGCTGATGGTAATATTAATGCGTATTCAACCTTGACCTCCGGCGTCCGCGTTTACGGCCGGCATCTAATCAACATCGTCCTCCATTCCTCGTCCTGCATCGTTCCAAATATATGAAGATGCGCATCTTTATGCAAGATCCTTGCGAAGATCCACGAATCGAACAGGCCATTCTTTGTCAATCTTCTCGAAGTAAACCGAAGTCACATTATCACGATAGACTTTATAGCCATAATGTGAGTACCAATCTTGATTCGAAAGCTACGATCGACCGTCAGTAGGCAACACAGTGTCAAAATAAGTGAAACGTGAAAATGACAACTCACCACAGTTGGCTTCAGCCCAAGCATCATGAGCAGCGGATTATCGTTACTGTTGAAGTCGCTTGCGATCGTCTCAAGTGTAAGAGTCTTGGCACCCAACTCCTCCTTGGCCATTCTTGAACGAAGAGCATTTAACACGATGCATTTTCACGAGCTGCTTTATTGGTGGACTTACTTTTCACAAAGTCGCAATGCGGCGCCGCCGAGCCCGTTGTTCTGCAGTACAGTTGAGATGTAGAAGGTCATGAGCGATAATATGCCGTTTGCCAAACTGGTCTCAAGCTCGGGTTTCGGCGCGACCGTGGTAATCGCTACGTGACCAACGGGGTGGAAAGACCGCATCAAAGACTCTGACTTATGGGGGTGGCCTAAAATCATCTTGCTACTATCCTGAAGAGCCTCGACTTCATTGGGAAAAGCGGCAAGGTGCGCATCGAGCCGCAAGGTGGTCTTCGGATGATCTGGGTGTAGAACCTGGTGCATATTAGCATGCTCTAGGAGCACGTGTGATCGTCGAACACAGTGATGCGACGATCACGACGGAGACTGCGTACTTACGACCCAATGAAGGCCCATCTCCCCGGCGCTCTGCGCCTCTCTCCAATGATCGACCTGCTCAACGTCCCACCCGCATGCAATCCGCTGCAACCTCATGCGCTCAACATGGTCCGGCGAGTCGGGATCCCAGGGAACCAAGATCACAGGAGCGGCGTTAATCGAGATCGTATCTGTCATTGTAGGTAATGTAGGTATAGTGGAGAATATCCACTTTGCATGTAGATGTTCTGGTTTGAACGTCAGCCCAGTGTAGTGGATCTGCGTGTGTTTAGAACATGCCTCGGTGAGAAGTCACACATGGGATTTCAGTCATATATAATCACGCCGACGTGACTTATATGGCAAAATGTTATATGGATACCTACCTGACTTACTTCGTGCCGTGTATCCCGTTGTGTCTAGTCATCCTCCTTCACAAGTTTCACGTAGAGTAAGCTCTATTTACGGCGTATTTGTTTCCGCCTGTTTGGCACTACCAACTACTAGTACCGAGCA